TTAATAAGACATTCATAATTGATAAAATATTTATTTTTGATATTTTTGAAATTTTCGCAGTTACTGCATTAATTTTTTATGAAACTGATGATTGGTTGATGCAAACAGGTTTGATAATTTCCTTTTCTAAAAAAATAATGTCCTACTCTTTCGATTAATTTCGTTTTTTTTAAACAAAATTTATTTATCAAATTATTTAAATTTGTGTTTGAATATTTTACAAATAGGGTTAGATTACTTATTCAAAAACAAATTTCGATGAAACGTGATAATACCCAAAAAAAGATTAGTCAGATTTAAAGTTATAAAAATAAAGGAAATTGCATTCTAAAATTAGATATAAAAAAAAAGATTAAAAATTTGTGCAGAAATAACATTATGCAACATTAAAAAAATTGTATTTAAATACGCATTCTCTCACATTGAATTTTGACTTCAAATGCTTCTGTATTAATTTGAGGCATAAATTTTCCTCCTTTTTGTTTTAAAGAAAAGATCATTAATTAATTTAAAAAGATATCTTACAATAATATAAGGGCTGAAATTGTTAATCAAGAATATGGATTACGTCTTGATTGCAATCAATTAAATACTTAGTATAATTGGTATCAAAATTGCAATTCTAGAAAATTTCAACAAAATTTTTTATAAATGGATTAGTAGAAATAGGCTTATCAATAAATTTATTCAAGATAGACAATTGAAAGTAAAAAGATCAGTAGAATTTATAAAATAAATGCCTTATGAAATTTTTAGAAATATATAACACCTTTTTAAAAGCAAGTTTAATACTATTTATAAAGCTATTTATTTATATACATACTCTATATATTTGACTAGTAATAGCAAGAGAAGTTTCTATCTACTTAAAGACGAAGATTATATAAGTAAATCTATTATATCACCTTTTAATGAAAATGATAAAATTGGAAAATATGTTATATTAAAAGTTTAGACAATTCATCAAACATTAATAAAGATTTTTTAAATAAGGTAAATTAACTTATTTTTTATAATCTAATAAAGTAATATCAGAATATATTTTTTTTATTTTCATAATTTTTTATTTTAGTAGAAACATCATTTAGAATTTGCATATTTAGCTAGATAATAATAGTTATCACTAATTAGAATATTTAGAATAATACAAGATCTTGAAACTTTAAATTATATAATTGTATTACAGAAAATAGATCAAGGCAGTTTGTGATCTAATTTATTGATAAAAAAATATAATCCACATGACAAATATATTTACTATTACAAAAATACTTTATGCTTTACATATATGCAATTTCATTTATAGTAATCTCTATAATGAAAAATACTTTTAAGAAGTGTATATATTATAAATATTAGTGATTTTAAATTAAGAAAGCCAGTTAATGAATTTAACAAAATGCTTTAATATTTAGTATTTTTACTATAATATAGATATTGTATTAAACATCTCTGTTAATTAGATATTTCTGCTAAGCTAATATATTTATTTTATTTTTATATTAATTAATTTAGTTATATTTATTATTATAATTAATAATTTTATACACGAGTAATTTGCCCTGTTAAATAGCAAATCTTGAATTAAAATAAGTCAAGCCTTATGATCTTAAATGAATAATTTTATTATGAAAATTTTTCATATTTTTATCTAGATTTATTTATATCATATAATAAAATTTTGTTATTCCATATAAGTTAAGGATAATTAAGTTAATCACAATGTTATCGTTTTAATTAACATGAACATTCCCATTAATTGTTGATTTTAATTGTACAATATTATGTAATTGAAATTTAAGTATAAAAATGATTGATTTTTTTTTTCTTGTTCAAGTTTTTTTTAAAAATAACGTAAATATAAATTTCAATAATTAAATCGTTTAATCTTCATTAATTAAGGATGCCTCGAGGAAAAACTAAGAGACCTAATAATAGTCGAACTAGTGGTGTTATGAACTGTCAGTCTACAAGTTCTAGGAATGGCATGACTACTAGTCATGCTCGAGGTGGTATGACTCGTCAAATTACAAGATTTATAAAACAATCTGAGGATCACGAAGATGATGTTTACGAAGACTATAATTACAAAGATTACATAGATGTTGATCAAGATAAAGATGTTCAGGAATCTTTCTCCTGTTAAAATTCGTGATCAAGATTCATCTGTTAAAATCCGTGATCAAGATTTACTTAAAACTTCAAATGTAAATCAAATTCAATATATTTAAAATGATATCTTAGCTGTTACAACTCGTCAAACCATAAATCAAAGAATTTTACCTACTGCAAATGCAAATCAAGTAACCAATACTACACAAGAAAATACTCAAGATTCTTTAAGTTTTCCTGTTACAACCTATAGTAGAAATCGAAGTATAGATAGTAATTGAGATCAAAGTTCTTCTGTTACGACTTATAGTAAGAGTTCTGGAAATTAAAGCGTAGATGATACTTGAGATATACGAGAATTTTCTTTTACGCATGATACAGAAGAATTTTCTTCCAAACATCATAATAAAAGATCTCATATTGATGATCTCAGTAAGACATTATTTGAAGTTTTTAGTATTTAAAATCTATAATCATAAATAATAAAATAACAATCTATTATCTTGTCAATAATTATGTAGAAAAAACTGATAATTCAAATGATTTTATAGATGATTACTCCGATATTCATCAAGATTCTAGTAATTTTGTAAAGCAAAAATTTATTTTATGCTACAAACCTTTGGAACAAAAAGAGTCACTAAGCGAGATTCAACCAGATTTAAACAAGCAAATTGCTCAAAAAGATAGTTCAATTAATTGTATATGTATGGATTATTATTTACAGTTACTTTAATAACTATTATATTTATTTATTGTATTTGCTTTTATTTATAGGCAACACTGAATATATTGGCGATTCTAGTCAATGAAGCAAAGATTTTATTTTTGAGATCACGTGATTCTTCAACTATTGCATACGATACATTGTTGAAATCAATAGCTCTAGGATTTTCTGAAAATAGTAAGACAATGTCCTTTCTTAAAATGAAATTAGATTTATATTTTGCAGTTCACCGGTCCCGTTTAAACACTGAAGCTAAGGTCTATGCTGAAGATTACATTAATAATAACAGATAATCTTGTATCTGAATCTTTTATTTTTATTCTTGTAGTTAATTAATTAATTATTTTATTTTAGTACTACTATCAATAATTTACCAAGTGTTGAAGATTTGGCTTTATACGTAGATAATACCGTCATTTTTCAATGCCTTAAGAGTCCAATGGCTAAATTACTGAAGAATGATGGGAGGATGATACTGATAGTGTGGATGTTTTTAGATTTTTCATCACAACAACCATAAGAATTCATATTATTAACGTTCTAAAATGCAATGATGATCCTCACCTTACTAAGATATCAGCACTAAATAAGGTCAAGACGCTTAATTACATAATCTGCGAATTTCATCTTCCTCATAATAATTCTACAAATTATGCAAATGAAATTGATGCTAATTTATTAAATAATTCTTTAGTCAAGACCAAATCCATGGTTGTAAACGTAAGTGTGGTCGTGTATGTGAACATGGTGGAGATTTCAGAAGAAATAGTAGATAAAGGTAATATTATTTGTTGATAATGATTTTCTGTTGCTTCAGCTCCTGTTTAAAAACATCATATTTTTACTTTTTAATTAGTATTATATGTAAACATAACAGAAAAATATTAGTATAATTGCTTAATATAAATATTGTGATATAATAATAAATGCTATTTTATATTAACATAAATTGC